TTTTTGCAAGACTGGGAGTAGTATTGTCATTCTCCAAGACTTTCAAACTCACACAAAAACTTTTCAATATGAGAGTGTAACCATTTGCTACGCAGTCTGTATCCTTTCTATCATTTACTTTTCATTTACATTTATGTAAAGTTACATAAATTTACATAAGTATAAAAATGCAAATTTTCATTCACATTTCAGGCATTTATTGAGGTAAAACGACTCCTATGTTTGAGTCATCCCCATCCCTTCACTTTCTATTATCCTATATGATTTCACCAGATCAATCACCCCAGATATCTCAATTCTCATGGCTTCTTATTTCCTCTATGCCCACGTCTCTCCTATATATTTCTCTCCAGGGACTTATCTCCACAGCCCTATCCTGAACATTGCCCTCACCTGAAATGGATTAGAAGGCTTAAACTCTGTTATCTTTCTTGCCAATTACAGCACCATTTCTTTTCAGACACCTTCCCAGCATTCCCCACACTCTTGTTCTTTGATCTGGTTGGGCATTCAGTCTCTTGACGTCCAACTTTGTCTTCTAGTTCTGGACTTTAGGTATTCCCTCCTCTTCTCAACACTCCATTCACTTCAAGTGTCCTTTAGCTAACAGCCTCAGGTCCTTTGCCTCCCTGACTTTCTACATCATCCCCTAAATTCCCCTTGCAAATAAAAAACCATAAAAAAATTGCCTTCTCCTTTCCTACTCCTGTTAGATTTTAAAATCAGAGGCAATCACACTTTAACAGCTGCTCTCTGATTTATTTCAACAACTATCCTGATCTTTCCATCTGTACGTCATGCACCTTATCTTGTTCTTCTGCAAACTTAGAGATAATCTTGACTTCTATTTCAAAGAGAGAAGAGTCTGAGCCACCAACATGACCTTTCTTTATTAACTCCCCATCTTCTTACAAATATGTCTTATGTCTGCCTCTAGCTTCATTTTCTTTCCTTCAGTCTCTTAGACAGACTGAGACTAATTCCCAATTCCTTTCCATCCACCCTTTTTAAAAATCGGTATTAAGAACAAACTAAAGCAAAGATGCATCTCCAGATTACACACCACCTTATATGGCACCAGTTTATCTTAACAATAGCCTGTGTATTTCCCTGGTTAAGTGACTTAGCCTGGCAAATTTGGGTTCATCAATGTTGAATGTTTGGCCAATGTCACACTGCTAGCGGTAGAGCCCCAACCCATTTCAAGTCTTTCTCTTCCCTCCACACTGCATTGTTAGCTATGTTTTCATACGCAATCTTCCAAATTAAAATTACTCTCCTTATTCATTGTATCCTTCACAGTGCTTAGCTTACTACATTACACGGTATTGGTGGAATCTCGGCTTCAACCATGATAAAGTAATCACACTGATTCAGTGCTTTAAGTTCTGCACTTACAAGGTATAATCATGGAAGCTCTACTCTTGGTGTCCAATTTACAGAAATGTAACAGAAGATCCTTTCCAATAGCAGTCCAGTGGAGGTTGGCATGATCTTTTGAATGCTTGAAACGAAGGGGGGGGGAATCGGAGGGGGAGACGAACCATGAGAGACTATGGACTCTGAGAAATAAACCGAGGGTTCTAGAGGGGAGGGGGGTGGGGGGATGGGTTAGCCTGGTGATGGGTATTAAGGAGGGGACGTACTGCATGGAGCACTGGGTGTTATACGCAAACAATGAATCATGGAACACTACATCAAAAACTAATGGTGATTAACATAACATAATAAAAATAAATAAATAAATAAATAAATAAAAATGAATGCTTGAAAAGAGTAATGATTTACATCACTGAACTATAAAATTGTACTGCCAACTCCTAATGACTTTCTTGACTGTCAAGATTTCCCTCTCGTTCTCCAAATGCCTTAAATTATAAAAGAAGAAAAATCTGAAATACTAAAGTCATATTAGAAACTGCACCTGGAGAAAATGCTTCCAGGAGTCATAAAATCGCTAGGTTATGCAGATGAAACAATTTTATTTGAAAAAAAAATCATAAAGAGAACTTATGCCATGAATCAAAGTATCTAAAAAGAGATAGGAAAAAAAAATCACTACTTTTTTTTTCAATTTTCTATTCCATTTGGGATAAATATTTATCAGATACATTAAAGAAAAGTTTTTGTCCAGATAAACTTTGCATATACAATTGTGAAATTATTTGTAGATGCTGCTTTTCAGTCATATTGTGGATATTGCTTTTCAGTATAGCAGTGGAATAGCATTTCTCTCATTTGAAGTATGAAAAGTAATTTTCCTGCTTTACTTTTCTTTCCTGCTATTTTTTTGAATATTATTGCCCTTATGTACCCTGTAACTGTCACATTTGATTGGATGCATTTCCGTAAGCTTTTCTAGACTTTGTTAAATGTGTATCTCTATTTATTTTAAAGGATAGATGACAACAAAAAGATTAAATCCACATGTTAAATCCAGGTTCATCTGAGGAGAAATACTTCAATATGAAGCTATTAGTAGTGCTCTGATGGAAAAGTGATACCTATCTTATTTACTGAGTGTTATTCAAGGGCATTACAGGTAAATGCCTGTCCTAGGAGAATGTAAAGGAAAGAAAACACATATCAGCACAAGTTGGGTTGTATTTTAAGACCACCCTGTGCAGTTTGAACCAATTTACTAATTGCCTAATATGGCATACAGCATAATGGGAGAAATGCTAGAAATCCCAGCCATAAAACTGATGTCATTAAACCATCGTAAGCAGAACACTGTGCATCTTTGTCCTATTAATGTGTATAATTAGAGGCCCCTTGTTCATTTCATGGCAATTATAACATTTTTTCCAATTGTACCAGCCAGATCATTGGCATTCCTTCACATTCTGTAGTATCAGCTCACGAGATGGATTAAATGGGAATCACTCAATGTGATGTAAAAAAGGAGATCAAGAGATGAAACAAATGACTCTCTTTTGCTATCAGTTTGGGAAAACTGATGAAAGTGTTGGAAAGAAGTTGGCCAGATGGTAAAGTGTTTTATCAGAGACTAAATGACAGTGAGGTGGTTTGATATATTCAGTAATACCTGCTAAACCATTAAAAGAGAGAGAGCAATAAAATGACATGTAACCTCAGAAACATTTGCTTGTTCTAGGTTTGGGCATTCTTCTTTGAACTTATTCCTTTTTTGCTTTGGTGGAATTAGGGAATGAGATCTGGTTTTTCATGTCATAACTGCACTTTGAACTAGACTAATAGCTAGTTAGGTTCATCAGTAGAAGTAGAATTTGCCAGTACCATGTTCTGTAACTTAAAAACTTCTCTAGAGAGATTATGTGGCAGATGCAGGCTTATATATGTTAGAGTGAGTGATTCATTTGCTGGAGTTTTATGGAAAGAATTTCTTGGCTATCTGGTATGCATTTAGACCCCTCTTTTCTCTATTTGTCAACTCTGTGACCTGTTTACTTGAAATTTATTCATATAATAATATAGGGATGCCATTTGGAGAAAATCCTACCCACATAAACCCCTTTGTCTTCACCTAATTATATTTCATTGGATCCCATTGAAAGAGGAGTATTGGAGGCTTTTTTGTGGACACAAACTGTCTTCCCCACCTAGTTCCAGCCAACGTCTCTAATTCCTCCCCAGGCCTCTACGTTCAGTGTTTGCCCTCGTGTGGCCTACATTGCCCCAGTGTAGCAAGAATTCCTCATCTTGATATCTGATCGCCATTGATATCTGGTCAAATTCCTTCTCCCCTGCCCAAAAAAGGGGAGGGGCGCCTGGGTGGCTCAGTTGGATAAGCATCTACCTCTGGCTCAGGTCATGATCCCAGGGTCCTGGGATCAAGTCCTGTATCATGCTCTTTGCTTGGCGGCGAGCCTGCTTCTTCCTCTGCCTCTGCTCCTCCCCCTGCTTGTGTGCTCTCTCTCTTTCTCTGACAAATAAATAAATAAAATCTTAAAAAAAATTCCTTCTCCCCACTCCTTAGTGTCTGATCACCCTGGCCTGACCTCAGCAAGAGTCCTATCAAGTTGGTTTACCAGACTCTTCCCTTATCCTTGATGTTTCCTCTTAGTACATTTCTATCCACTGACTTCCACCCTACCACTTGGCTATAAATTTCTCCTGTCCATGCTGTATTTGGAATTGAACTCAGTTCCATACTGAAGTCTCTTTTTACCTATTTTAACAGTTCTTGAATGAAATGTGTTCTTACCACTTAAAAAAAAAAACTTAAAAAACCTTTGCAAATTGTAGATAACTGTTAGCAATGAGAAAAAATTCTTGTCAAAATATATGCCAATAAATTGTGTCAGGTGGAGACTTAGTTGATTTTTCTCACTCCCCACCCCTTAAATACTACTGTGAAAAAAGCCAGTTTTAAGTCATTTGCAAGTTTATTTCAACACTCCTTTATTCCACATAAATTTCTAGTTCTTTGATTTCTTTTTTGGTAGACATGCAGGTTTTTTATTTTTGAGAGAGAAAGAGAGCGAGAGAGCATGTGATTGGGGGAGGGGCAGAGGGAAAGGGAGAGAGAGAATCTCAAGCAGGCTCCCTGCTGAATGCAGAGCCTGATGCACGGACTCTGTTCCAGGACCTTGAGATCATGACCTGAGCTGAAACCAAGAGTCTGACCCTCCACTGCCTGAGCCACCCAGGTACCCCAGACATGCATGTTTTTAAAGACCAATCTCATATTGGGTGAATCATATTACAAAAGCAGCTAGAAATTGAAGGAAATGATGGTAAATTAGATTGTAGGGCACCTGGGTGGCTCAGATCGTTAAGCATCTGCTTTTGGCTCAGGTCATGATCCCAGGGTTCTGGGATCGAGTCCTGCATTGGGCTCCCTGCTCCTTGGGAGTCTGCTTCTCCCTCTGCCTCTCTCTCTCTCTCTCATGAATAAATAAAATTAAAAAAAAGATTACTTGTAATTGATCACAGTCCTTATAATCTCTCTGGTATTACTGAGGTAAGTATGCCTTAGTTTTGGGGATAAAAACTAAATATTTGGTTTATAGAGCTTGCTTCAGCAGCATATATACTAAAATTGCAACGATACAGAGAAGATTAGCATGGCCCCTGCGCAAGGATGACATGCAAATTCGTGAAACGTTCCATAGTTTTGTGATGGTATCACAGGTGCAGATGTATGTCCAAACTCATCACATTGTATACATTAAATATGTGCAGGTTTTTGTGTATCAGTTATACTTTAACAAAGCTATACAAAAATCTGTGCTTGTTATAAAAACTGATCAAATCCAAATGTCATCTGTACCTGAGTTAATAGTATTGTACCAACTTCAACTTCCTCGTTTTGAAAATGTATTATGTTAAAATAAAAAACAATACTTAAAAAATATTTGGTTTGGGGGGTGTTTATTAGATGCCAAGCACTATGTAATTACCATACTTGGTAAATAACTTGCCATCTCTGTATCTTACATTTTTATGGGAAGAAATAAGATATTGAATTTAATTTATATCAACTCAGTTCTTTTCAAATATACCTCTACTGTAAGTGTCCTAGAGGTGCTTTAATTAAAAAAAATTCTTGTTATTCAAGTTAAATATATTTTGTGTAGTTTGCTGAGGTTCTTATGGAAAACAATTTCATAATTGCAGGGTACTTCTCAGATTTGTATATAAACAATAATCAATTATCAACATTTCTTCTGGTTATTTCCAGAAGATAGTGCCTTCTTTGAAGAAATAAACTGGTTTTTACCAATAGCCTTACTCAGATGTAGATATATTTAGGCTTTCATGCCAGTGCCTTAGCCTTCACTAGTACTGAGTATTTATGCATAATGAAGAGAAAATATTTGCCAATGGAAAACATGTTGATATAATGAAATATGCATTCTGGCTATTAAATTCAAGAAGACTACATATGCAGGCATCTCTTTTGAGGTGATGTTTTCATGCTCAATTGCAATTATTTGAAATTCTTTTAAAGAAGTTGTTATATTCATAATTACCTTGACTAAGTATGAACAATAAACAGATGCTTTTCAAAGACTTAACATCACTAAACAATTTCTTATGACTTTTCTTAGAGAAAAGATATGTGTATTTCTTTTGCATATGTAATGGTATGGCACCTTGAAATGGAAGAGACAATGTATTAGTCAGTTAGGGCTGCTATAACAAAATACAGACTGATTGGTTTAAAGAAACAGAAATTCATTTTCTCACCATTCTGGAGGCTGGAAAGTCCAAGATCAAGGTGCCAGCAAATTTGGTGTTTGGTGAAGGTGTCCTGGCTTGTGGACACCTCCTTCTTGCTATGTTCTCCTATCGCCTTTCCTTGTGCAGGGAAGGTAGGGGGGAGAGACAGACGAGAGAGAGAGAGAGAGAGAGAGAGAGAGAGACAAAGGGTGGGAGAGAAAGAGAGTGTGAGCGAACTCTGGTGTCTCTTAGTGTAAGGACACAAATTCTGTGGAATCAGGGACTCACCTTTATGCCCTCATTTAACCTAAATTATTTCCTTAGAAGCCCTGTCTCTAAATATAGCCACATTGGGGGTTAGGCCTTCAACATATGAATTTTAGGGGGATACAAACATTCAGTCCATAACAGACCATATAATTCAACTCTGATGAAAACTTTGACTCTGGGGCGCCTGGGTGGCTCAGATGGTTAAGCGTCTGCCTTCGGCTCAGGTTATGATCCCAGGGTCCTGGGATCGAGTCCCGCATCGGGCTCCCTGCTCCTTGGGAGCCTGCTTCTCTCTCTCTCTCCCTCTGTCTCTCATGAATAAATAAATAAAATATTAAAAAAAAAAAGAAAACTTTGACTCTGGGTATGAGCATTTTGTTACAAATTGGCACACTTGCACCTTATAGAGAAACTGATTCTAGCTTCATGAAACCATCTGTAGTGCAAATATAAGACATATTTACATTCTGTTAATGAAGTGTTTCCATAGTGCAATGCAATTGGTGAATTCTGATCTATTGTTTCTTTAGTCTGAAATAGATCCTTACATTGGAGCGAAAGTATAATATTCACTTACATTACAGCTTTTCTGAAAAAAAAAGTTTATATTTCTCCATTTCTGTGACAAAACCCTTTGAAGAGTACTTTTACTGATAATCAAAATGAGACTCTAATAATACAGCTTATTGTACTACAAAAGTAAGAATTTAGTTAGGAACTAAGTGCCAGTTGATATCCGTTGATTCATTGTGATTGTATCCTCCAAAATATCTACAATGCAAGGCCTGTAGAAATGCATGGTTATTATAGGCTATATGTCTGCCAAAGTGAGACTGTATCAACTGATATATTTTTACATACATTACATTTTAAACTTCTTTCCAAGGTTTATACATGAACACACTGAGTCATCACTTTGTTAACAGTATCCTATACATCTCAGTGTCTTCTGCTTTATTATTTTCTCTTGCCTATGACATGAAATGCAACAACTCATCTTAAGCCAAGTCATATCAACCTTCTTCCTTCTTACACTGTCACTTTGCACAAGATATATGGTAAAGCATAAATGAGAAAAAGAAGTGAGCCCTCCCAACCCCGAATGACTGAGATGTACTTGAATAGTACTATAAAATTGTTTACTCTTGGCACATTCTAAAAAAATAGAAATGTTCTTTAGAAGCAAAACTTTCACTATTTGCAGATGACATGATATTATACATAGAAAACTCAAAAGACTCCATCAAGAAACTATTAGAACTGATAAATGAATTCAGTAAGTTCACGGGATAAAAAAAAATCAATGTACAGAAATCCATTGCATTTCTATACACTAATAATGAAGCAACAGAAAGAGAAACTATGAAAGCAATCCCATTTACAATTGTACCAAAAATAATAAAACACCGAGGAATAACCTTAACCAAGGAGGTGAAAGACCTTACTCTGAAAACTATAAAACATTGATGAAAGAAATTTGAGATGGCACAAATGGAAAGATTCCATCTTCATGAACTGGAAAAACAGATGTTTCTAAAATTTCCATACATTTTAAGTAATCTACAGATTTAATGCAATCCGTAACAAAATACCAATAGCATATTTTCACAGAATTAGAACAAATACTCCTAAAATTTGTGGGGAACCACAAAAAACCCTGAATAGCCAAAACAATCTTGAAAAAGAAAAACAAAGTGGGAGGTATCACAGTTACAGATTTCAGATTATACCACAAAGCTGCAGTAATCTAAACAGTATGGTACTGGCACAAAAATAGACACATATATCAATGTAACAGGACAGAAAGCCCAGAAACAATCCCATGATTATAGGGTCAATTAATCTTCAACAAAAGAGGCAAGAATATGCAATGGGAAAAAAAGACAGTCCCTTCAACAAATGGCGTTGGGAAAACTGCACCATTGTCTTATACCATACACAAAACAAACTCAAAATGAATTGAAGACCAAAATGTTAGGCCTGAAACCATAAAAAATCATCCTAGAGGAGAGCACAGGCAGTAATTTCTCTGACACTTACTCTACCAATTTTTTTTCTTGATATGTCTCCCGAGGCAAAGGAAATAAAAGCAAAACTAATCTTTTGGGACTACATCAAAATAAAAAGCTTCTGCACAGTGAAGGAAACAATCAACAAAACTAAAAGACAAACTATTAAAAGGGTATTTGCAAATGGGCTATATGATAGGGGTTAGTATCCAAAATATATAAAGAACTTATACAACTAAACTTCCAAAATACAAATAATTCAATTAAAAATGGGCACAAGACATGAACAGACATTTCTCCAAAGAAGACATAAAGATGGGTAACAGACACATGAAAAGATGCTCTATATCACTCATCATCAGAGAAATACAAAACAAAACCACAATGAGCTATCACCTCACACCTGTGAGAATGGCTAAAATCAAAAACACAAAAAACAAATGTTGGCAAGGATGTGGAGAAAAAGGAATTCTTGTGCACTGTTGGTGGGAATGCAAACTGGTGCCGCCACTGTGAAAAACAGTATGGAGGTTCCTCAAAAATTTAAAATAGAACTACCTATGATCCAGTAATTGCACTACTGGGTATTTACCCAAAGAATACAAAAACACTAATTTGGAAGGCTGTATGCATCCCTATGTTTGTTGCAGCATTATTTCAATAGCCAAATTACGGAAGCAGTGCAAGTATCTATTGATAGATAAATGGATAAAGAAGATACAGTACATATGTATATATATATGAAATTGAATATTACTCAGCCATAAAAAAGAATGAAGTCTTGCCATTTGCAATGACATGGATGGGCTAGAGAGTATAATGCTAAGTGAAATATGTCATCCAGAGAAAGACAGATACCATCTGATTTCACTTATTTGTGGAATTTAAGAAACAAAACAAATGAACAAAGAAAAAAAAGAAAGAGAGAGAGAGACAAACCAAGAAACAGACTTAAATATAGAGAACAAACTGACGGTTACCAGAGGGAGGTGGCTGGGGGAATGGGTGAAAGAGGTGAAGGGGATTAAGAGCACACTTATTATGATGAGCACTGAGTCATGTATGGAATTGTTGAATAACTATATTGTACACCTGAAACTAATATAACACTGTATGTTAATTATACTGGAATTAAAATAAAAAACTTAGGAAAAAATAGAAATGTTCTTTATACTTTTAGTGCTCAGTGGTGATTGTTTTTTCCTTAGGCATGTCTTTCCAAATGTCTCTCAAGTTCCTAGTATGGGTATCAATACATTACTGTTGTTTCTGTGGTCTGTTTTTTATTTCTTTTTATTGAAGTGGGGGTTAAATGCTGTTGCAGAGTGTATGGAATTGAAGAATCACATAAGCATGTCTGCCAATGATCTCAAAACACTACATTCTCATTTAGGGTTTTGAAAATATTTCAAGGACTTCCCGTCCCATTGTTTTCCCAGAAATTGACCATTAGAATGATTTTCATACTTTCTTGACTTTAGAAAATACTCCTTTTGGTCTTCTAATAAATTATGTGGACTCAACTGCTTTTTGGCAACTTTCCCATATTACTTCTATTGTTATGATGATTTACAAAAGGGAACACATAAATTGATACACATGGAGACCCCATTATTGTGGAGTTCCCATGCAAATGTTATTTATTGGGAGCCAATCACTAAGAATTATAAGAAA